CTGTGTGGCTTGGGCCATCACAACGTTCATTTGCAGGATCTTTACTATTATTAATACATTTTATAAAATATAATTAGTAGTTTACATTGATATGAAACAACTTTCTGGCCACATTATGATGTTTCTGCTGGCCGGAGGACGGAGGCAGTTTGTATTAACGCAGTGATGAAGGGAAGTTAGTACATACAGTTTTATTTCAGAGCTTATTGAACCCAGAATGCGTCTGAGCTGTGTGAGTTTTATCAGTTTGATCAGCATACTGGTGGAGCCGCTCGTTGTTGTTGTCGGGACGTTGAGGACAAACACAGCCTGTCTGCTCGCCGCTGATTTGAATGTTAAATAACAGACTGACAGTTCTGATGAACCGTCTGTCTCCAAACGTCTGCAGCTCCGACCCACTGCTGAAACAATCATTAACAGTTTCCACTGCTGCCCGATTAATAACGACTCAAACACTTCACAGGATCAATTGATTAATTGATTGACAGACAATCAGCAACTGAGCTGAAAATATTTCTTTGTATAAAACCAACCAGTCGCGGTTCCTCCAGTTTCATGTGACGTAATAAACTGAACATGAGACATTTATCATTAATCATTCGGTCATAATAAAGAATAATGTTCTTGACAAACTTTGTCTTTTGTGTTCACAGCGTCCTCTCAGCCAATGGGGGGCGTTGGCTCTATGGGAGGCCCCGCCCCCGGGTCGCAGCGCATGTTCCCTCAGAACCAGGGCATGATGGGTATGAACATGGGTCAGGGCGGTGGGCCGGCAGGAGGCGTAGCTCCGCCCCCGGCAGTGAGTCAGGCCGACATCAGTCTGTCTTCCTGCGGGGGCGGAGGGGGCGGGGCCGGCGTGGACGTCCAGCAGGTGCTCTACAACAACATGAACCTTCACCCCAACCACCCGCCGCACGCTGCCCACCCGACGCAGCAGCCCAGCCTGCAGCGCCAGCCTCTGGGCCCAATGAGCGCCGCCTACAGGCAGAACCTTCTGGCTCAGCAGCAGCAGCACCTGAAGGTGCAGCCCAACGCCGCCATGTTGAAGCAGCAGCAGCTGGCGGCCGCCCGCATGCCGGGCTCCATGCAGAACAGTATGGGAGCCAGCCTGCCCGGCTCCATGCCCGGCAGCATGCAGGGCGCCCCGAGCGCCGCCTGGCAGCAGCAGCTCGCCAGCCAGCCGCCCTCCAGTAACGCTGGCCTGCCCCCCAACGCCTTCAACAACCCCCCCAACGCCTTCCACATGCAGCAGCCTCGCATTCCCAAGATGCCGCCTGGCGCTTCACCCTTTAATGCAAACCCCGGCGGGCGTCCGATGGGGGGCCTGAACCCCGCGCAGCAGATGATGCAGACCAACATGGCGGCCCAGCAGAGGGCGCCGCCCAACCCTCAAAGCCTCGGCCCTCCGATGGCCAATCAGCAACAGACTCAACAACAGCAGGCCAATCAGAACCAGGCCGTCCTCCCTGACCTGGCGGCGTTCGGTCCGCCGCAGGGCAGCGGCCGCCAGGGACTGCAGTGTAACCAGGGTTACCAGGTGAGCAGGACTGCCAGCCAGCAGCAGCAGGTGTCGTTTGGATACAACGTGGCGTCGGGGAGCTTCGCCGGGGAGAGCGAGCTGGTGGACTCCCTGCTGAAGGGCCAGAGCACGCAGGAGTGGATGGCCGACCTGGACGAACTGCTCGCCGGCCACCAATAGACGGACTCACCTGCCTGCACCTGCTGAGCTGAGGGCGCACTGAAACACGCAAGACGAGTCGCTGGTGACTTCCTGCAGCAGCCATGTTTAAAAACAAAGAAGAAAAAAGATTTAAAAAAAGATCCAGACAGGAGGTCGGCGTGTTAGCATCCTCACAGCTGTTTGCCCTTTGCTCAGAGACACTTCAGCAGCCGGAGGATTGGACCTCTGTCAGCTGACACCATACCACTGACCCACTGACCCACTGGGAGAAATAAAACCAGTTCAGTCGCAGCGAGCGGAGCTGAAGTGAGAGCCACACCAGGCTCCACACCTGCTAACAGACAGAAAGTAAAAGCTTTATTTCTCCTTAAAACTTCAGTTCAGTTTGTTTGATTCCACTTTTAGACCACAAATACAACCACAGAGGAAGAAATAAAGATCTCCATAGAAACCACGCAGAAACATTAATGATGGTCGAGGTCTCGATTATATCAGACGTCAATCAAACTGACCCTTCCTAAGCCCCGCCCATTCTGCTCTGAGCTACAATCACAGTTGAGCTAACCTCTGGATCAGAAAGGGGCGGGGCTTAGAAAGAGCATCTTAACCCTGATTGGATGATTAAGTTGATAATATAATGCTCTGTGTGTAGCAGGTGTGTGTGTGTGTGTGTGTGTGTGTGTGAGCCCGCGCTGCTCGTCACATGATCAGTGTGTATTTGTTGTTACACACTGTTTACGGACGACTGGAGGCTGAACGGAGGAGTCGTGTTAAGACTACTGAACCTACGGCTCAGTGCTGAACCACTGTACCCGCCCCACAGCGCCACCTACAGACCATCAGTTCGTTCTTTCTGCCTTTGGTTCCTTCAGCAGATGAAAGAAGTTAAATGTTACTGAATGATGTGATGGAGTCGTTTTGTTTTTGCACATTTTACAGCGTTTACTACGAATACTTTATATTCCTGCGGACGCTCTCTGTAAAACCGGATCATGTTTCAGTTTAATGTCAGTGTGCTTTAAATTTACCACAACACGTTACTGTGAGCAAATTAAAGGCACACACGATGCCGGAGATCATTTTCATATTTTATGGAAATATCTGCCATTACGCTGCCGAGAGGACAAATATTTAAATACGCGACACAATGCAGCGTGTTTGCTTTAGGGAAATGAGCCGCAGTCATGTAAAGTGATTTTAAGAGAGGGGGATGAAGGGTCGAGGTCAACTGAGCATTTCTCTTCACAACCATTAAACTTCAGTCAGAGTTCATCTGCAGAAAGTTTATTCAAACCAACAGACTGAATTATTAATTCACCTACAATAAAGCAGTAAAATGTTCCTCACGTCGCTCTGAAGGAACCGCAGCGACACGGGAGCCACTGTACGTCTCCTACAAGCATTAATCCGTCTCCGCTTCACTACACTTCAGCTGCAGTTCGCTGGTTCTTCCTGTAAAAGGATCCACTCGAGCTCATTGGCCTCTCGCAGTGTCTAAAGCTTTCCCAACATCTTCCTGTAGATTTAAAGCAGCAACAGGAAACACAGGTTTCAGTCTGTTCTAAGGACGGTTGCACACGTAGCACCTTGTTTTAAACCGGTTCCACCAAAAGTAAATGTGAATGTTGGGTTCCCAGCAGGAACACAAACACATGGTAAAGTGTGCAGCGCCTCCTGTTCTGGATCACAGTGGTTCTGTAAGAGAACAAACATTAAGTTCTTCTAATTCAGTCAGTGTCACTGTTTCACTATGCAGGTTAAAACTCCAAGTTCTTCATTTAACTGAAGATGGAACTGATTGATGGAGGTAAAAGAGACTTTGGACCTTCTTCACTGTAACGTTTCAGACGCAGTTCTGGTCTCCTGATGTTTCCTGATCTGTTAAAGCTGCGTGCTGTCCGCTCCGACCGCCGGCGCTGAGTCTGACGCTGAATGTGACCTCGTTGTGTCCACATAGTTCTCAGTATATGTTAGTCAGACCTTCGCTTCACGCCCGACTCACCGCCCGCCGTCCGACCTGCTCCGACGTCTGCAGCCTTTAAGGTGGAACTGTGGCCTGCTGGTCCTGTTTTTAAGGTGGAACTGTGATCTACTGTACTGTTTGTGTTTGCAGACCTGTTGTTGTTTTTGTTGTTATTATTAACCGTCTGCTCGGCGCCCGTTTCCCCGTTTCACCGTTTCATCCCGATCGCTGCCGATCTCCTGACGAATCTTCAGCTTCCAGCGTCGCTCAGTTCTCTGGGTTCAACTGTGTAAATGTATAAATATATTTTTTGTATGTATGCCTTTCCTAATGATGTGGAGAAGATAGATGTTATTTTTATATATTGCAGCGGAGTTTTTGTAAGTATTTTATACTTTTGATATGGTTCTCTGTAAAACAAGAGTATTATGTAAATATAGTTCTTTAGAAACACGTTGGTCTCATTCTGTTTGTTCACATTAACACTATTATATTTACTTTATTAAACCTCACTGATCCTTTAGTTTGATGAACAGATCAATGAGCCACAGGATGACTTCAGTAACAAAGAGTTTGACCTGGTGAGGATCCACTTTAATGAGTCGTTCATTATTTAATTCCTCCCTTTAATCCAGCTCTTTTATTTCTACTGAATGTTTTTAATGAGTTTCTTTGATTCCTTCAAGTTTAAAAGCAGAAACAGTTTTCAGGTTACAGATGCCTCCGTTAGTTATGGGATGTTTCAGTTCTGGCTCCGCCCCCTGCAGCTGTTACCTGTCTGTGTCCTCACCGTGTGTCACTGCTCAGGTGTGTTTCACTCTCACCTGTCGCTCTGACCTGTCGCTCTGACTCGTTGCCTCGCCGCTGAGATGTTGGAGCAGGCGGTCGGCCTCGGCGCCGTGACCGTGCTGGGCGTCCTGGAGCAAGGTAAGAGTGCATGCTGGGAAATCTGAGAGGAGACTGAAGGTCGTTAAATTAGGTGAAAATGAAGTTTGGTTGAGACTCATCACTGATCAGATAAATAATAATAACTTTAAATGTGTTTAAATCTAAATTATCATTCAGTTTGAAGCTTTTACAGGTTTTGTTTGTGTTCCTCTGTCGGCTCTGTTTTTATTATGAATCAACTTTACATCTAACAAACAAACAAACTGAACTTTGATCAGCAGGAAGAAAATTATAATAAACAAGGTTTGATTCATATTTTATCCTGTAAACAGAACAAACAACTGTGTGTGTGTGTGTGTGTGTGTGTGTGTGTGTGTGTGTCTGTCTGTGTGTGTCTCTGTGT